TCTCCTTCACCCATCCGCCATAGCCAACCACCTTCCACCTTCTTCCTCCACCACCTCCTTCACCCATCCACCATAACCGACCACCTTCCACCTTCTTCCTCCACCACCTCCTTCACCCACCCACCATAGCCAACCATCTTTCACCTTCTCCCTCCCCCATTGTCCTTCGTCACTCGAAGGTCGTAAGCAAGGAGGGCACCAAAGAGCGCAAGGGACATTAGGTAGGACGGTAGGACACGCTAGGGGGTGAGGTTTATTACTGATTAGGTGTCTCTTTCTCCTCCTTTCTCTCTTTTTCTCTCCGTCTCTCTCTCCCTTCCCTTTCTCCCTCATTAAGAACCTCCACCTCATCCTCCCCCTCCTCTTCCTTCTTGGCACGTGACTAACTCGCTCACTTGTTACATTGCCAGGGAACGAACGGTAAAAGAAGCAGTCCTCACTTGGTAGAGAAAGAGGGAAAGGGAAGGGTTGCCGGTCCCTTGCGTCACCAAGAAGGAGAAAAGGGAAATCTTGGAGGAATTGGGAAGGCGAGAAAAGCGAAAGGAAGGGAGCTTGGCACCAGGTCGGTTGACTCAACCATTCCCCCGACTGCATGACTAAGGAGAATGCATGGCTTGATTGTGAGGGGAAGGGAAAGTTGAAGGAACCCTGGGGGGGAAAGGAACTTAGGTTTGCGGGAAGGGCAATGTGTTGACCCCAATGGGGGATTGTATTGGTCTTTGCTTGTGTGGGACTGTGCAGGTGAGTGGCTTAAATGGCTTGAGCGGGATTTGGTCCGGGATTCGCGAGCAAAAGGGAAGCATGAGGATCGGACGGGGAAGGCCATGGGCTTAGCGTAAAACTAGATGCGGGTGGGCCTTGGTGTAGAGCGCATGGGGAAGAGAGCAAAGGAAAAGAGGGTTTGTCTCGGCATGATGAATGTGTGTCTTGACTCTTTGCATGCAATGTGAAAGCCCGAAAAGACTAAGGGTTAGCGACGGATATGTGAATATTATGTGTGTGTCAAGCAAAAAAATAGGGGCTAGGGGATGGACGGCGTCGCTGCTCCCGATGATGGCGTAGGTATTGTTGTGCTTAGTGAAAACATGTGTGGCCCAAGGATGACGCTTGGCCTGCGCACAAAAGAAGAAAAATTCTCAATGAACCCCCTGGACTGCTTGTGTATTGGAAGGAGCAATTGCCTGGCCACATCTAAGTGAATCGAGAAAACGTCGCGAGTGACCTTAAAGCTAGCATCTAGTATGAGAGCGGAGCTACATCCCCAATGTAAAGCCCTCTCACAAATGGCCCATCCCCATCCATCTCATAGCACTAGGTGGGGGTGCCCCTGTGACGAACGACCCGCGCCCTGTGCGTGAGCGTGGGCGGGTCGAGCCAAATGGGACCCGCAAAGGGGTCGACTCAGGCTCGAAAGTCTAACAAGGTATGGCCCTACAACGTCCATATCCGTTCAACGTTCATCGTTCACACAACGTTGTACGAAGGTGAAATGCTATTTCAACTGTCCTAACTGTGTCCGATGTTCGAACAGATTCCCAGATGCCCTGTCTGCACCGCATGTTGAAGCCTGAATCAATTCTCGGTTTTGTTGTTTCGCAGCTCCACAGGTCAAGTCGCGCTATCTCCCCCACCCGCGTTCTGATATGATCTTTTCTTCACCCTCCACCTCCGTCCGCCATAGCCGATCCGCGCTTCGTAGCTCAATTTCCTTTCGCCGAAGTTGAACCTGCACGCTATAAAGCTGCGAGGATATTGTTTGTATATATATATATATATATATATATATATATATATATATATACATATATAGCAGCACACACTCGTCAGTGCCCTTTTTGAACGACGAATCAATTTCCGATTTTCGTTCACATGTCCCTTGTGAGGTCGTCGACCACGTATATATATATACAGGTACTTGACTCTCTCTCTCTCTCTATAAGGTCGAATTAATTCGCAGTTTTTATTAAATATATATATGTATATATATATGTACAGACAATCGTCAGTGTCGTTTCTATAAGGTCGAATTAATCCGCAGTTTCTGTTCTTCCGTCCCTCTTCTGTAACGCCGAGTTAGTTCGCACTTTGCGACCCACAATGTTGTTGGAGCTGTCGCCTCTCGAATCCAAAACTCCGAGTTAGTTCGCACTTTGTCGACACCTATTGGGATATGTTTCAGGTCTTCATCTCCAAAATTCCGGATTAGACGCCTCGTTCTTGAAAGTAGGCTCTTCATTTCCAAAAGATAAGACGCCTCGTTCCTGAAAGTAGGCTCTTTGCTGAAAGTAGGCTCTTCATTTCCAGAATTGCGAGTTGTTGCCCTTCGTATCCAGAACTCCGAGTTAGTTCGCACTTTTCGACACGCGTGTTGTACGTGTTTCAGGTCTTCATTTCGACAACTCTGAGTTAGTTCGCACTTTCTTCAAGATAAGTCGCGTCTTTCTTGAACGAGAGTTCCTCGTTTCCGGAACTGCGAGTTGGAATTGTTGTCTTTTCTCAATAATTGCGAGTTAGTTCGCACTTGTCGGTAACCATGCGGCACGTGTTGTAGAGGTTTTCATTTCCACAACTCCGAGTCAGTTCACACTTTCACCAAGACAAGCCGCCTCTTTCTACATCTCCAGGATTGCGAGTTGTTTCGCACTCTGTCCAAGGAGTTGTTATCTTTCCTCCCAACTCACTCCGCCACAGTAGTATCGTCTTCGTTCCCACAACTCCGAGTTAGTTCGCACTTTGCAGTTGTACTCTTAGGAAAACCTTGTGGCTTTCTCCTGGTCATCCGGTTTGGTCTAGGCTCGGGCTAATGCTCCACGGTACCATCCTTTCGTTCCAGAAACAGTCTGGAGGCTTGCTCAAGCTGCACACTAACAACAACCGATGTTTATCCTCTCGGTACCATCCTTTCGTTCCAAAAACAGTCTGGAGGCTTGCTCAAGCTGCACACTAACATCTTCTACGACTAGTGCAGACTGCCTTTGAAAGGTGTTAAGGGTGTGATAGAGCCGATCAAGAGTTTCGTCGGGTATGGCTCGAACATGCTACGCTGTCGTCACTTTAAAGGGCTTTACGATGGCAAAATCAGACCTCTTCCACCGCCAGTGGAATATCTCGATCTTGCGTTGAAGGTGCCGAAAGAGCGTCCGATTCTTCCGCGAGAATATATTTTCCGGCTTCTGCCAGCCCATGAGGGGTCGTCCAACTTGGCTCAAGAAACCCCTGTGACGACAGTGGGGCACGGGAGTGTGATTCACGACACTGAGGGTCAGGGCGTGGGGCACGCGCACAGTATTCAGACGCAGGTCGGCCCGGATGCTCCTGGGAACACGTCTGGCTTGCGTTCTCCAGATGCAGGGACTCACCGGGTCGGCACTCCGAAAATCCTCAAGTTTGTTTGCCAGGGTGACACATATTCGCTTCGAGATGAGGCGAGAAGAGAATCCGGCAGTTAAGAGCAAGAGGTTGGAGGGAATGAGGTTGAAGGGATGGGTGTTGTGCGTGACAGCTCTGGCAGGGAGCCGACTTCTTCGGAGAAGAAGCACGAGCGACAGAAGACGGTGCGAGAAGAGGTGGCGGAACAAACCCGACGCATGAAGAGGATGGAAGGATACTCAGAGCCGATGATTGGCGGGGATGAAGGTGACGTCGGAGAACGTGCCTCGGGAAAGAGGACGTCAGGGATGCGTGGCGGACAAGAACAAGGAGTCAAAAAGAACCAGTCGAAGCAAGAGGGTGCAACAACAAGTAAGAACGCGAAGAGGCCCGACGGTTTGACCATCCACGAAGGAAAAGCTATGGGTGAGGGAGATTCAGCTCGTCTAGGCATTGCCGCCGCGAGAGAACCTTCGGAGAAATCTAAAAGGAAACTGGCAGCTGAAGAAGGCGATGGCCAGAAGAAACCTCGGAGGAGGAAGACTGCTGAGGGGACGAGTGGTGGTGAAAGGGCAGTCGGTAGGCAGTACGACGAAGTGGCAACGTTTTGGCTCGAATACGAGCGGCACGATGATGGTGAGATCGTGGAGAAGGAACTCCCCATTCAACAGCTCATCGACCCCAGGAAGGTCTGCGACATCCCGCTGTGGGAAAGATATTACAATCACCGCAGACTCCACAGTCTCACTCGCGATGGTGCGGAGGACATCAAGGGTGTGATGCTAAGGCAGTTCCACGAGGAAAAGGGGAAGATCTGGACGAAAAACCCTTTCGTAGTGGCACCCATCTACAAGCCGGTGACGCATAAGACGGAGAGAGCTCAGAGGGTTCACAAGGATGTCTTTAAGCCAGAGGACAAGGACAAGTACTTCTATTACCCTGTCAATGGACAACACACTGTGGCTGCTGTGAAGGAGTTGGCCGGTGAGCCAATATTCGAATTGTGGAAGATGCACTCGTGGCCGGCGAGAGTCGTGTGGTTCTCCGACGAAGACTTTGGGGGGTATTTGCAGGTCAGTCTGACGGAGAACACAAGACACAAGATGTCTAAGCAGCATGCGCAGAAGGCTGTTTTCGAGGACATGCGGGAGGCATGGGATAATCAATGAAGGTCGGTGGCCATTCAAGGGAACGCTTCCGGTAAGGAGGCTGAAAAACAAGCGTTTTTCGACTTCCAAAAGCTGCTTTTGGGAAAGAGTCCGAACGACGCTCACTGGATGATGGCACGYAAAGCGACAACGCTCGCCGACAAGGACCACATCGCTGTCATTGGCAATGCATCGAGGCAATGGATGCCGCTCGTGACGACCGGTGATGAGGTTTTTCACAAAGGCATGGAGTTCTACGATAAATGGGCCGAGGGAAAGTTGTTGGGCGGAGACGGGAAGACGCCCTTGTCGAAGCCGGGCAAATACATGCCAGCCAAATCTCCGGGTCTTCAAGCGATTCCGGAAATGGGCGCGAAAGGGGCGGCTGGTGAAACGAGGATCGGGTGGCTGGTCCGGGTCCCGCCGCCTCTGACCAAAAAGAAAACGCAATCGGACGATTTGTTTTTCATCGTCGTGAAGGAGCCAGACATGTTATGTTGGCAGTCTCTCGCTGACATGACCGATGCAGAAAACATGTCGATCCTCGACGACATTCTCGCGCCGAGGGGAGTGTTCGTGCAATCGGCGGGCGGGCATCCAAAACGTCAACATAAGCCTGGAATTAAAGACATGGTCGCGATGAGGAAAGTGGACCGCATGATGCTCCGCATGTTTCACTACATCTTGTTCCTTGAATCCGAGGAGGACGCAGAGGTTTGGCGGTATGGGAGCCAGTTTTTTCGGACCGAGGAGCAACTTCTGGCGGAGTTCGCGCCGCAGGGCCTCACGAAACAGGTGTGGGTCGAACTGCAGAAGCATTTCCACGGCGCGGTGGAGTACGTGAACACTTGCAAACATTGTCTTCCGTACGAGAAGGGGTCCCTCGACGAAACGAAGAAAATGTACGATGATGAGAGATTCCCTAAATCTTTCGAGAAGTCCGTCCGCTCCATCTTGCGACGAACGGAGGAAGAAGTGCAAGACATGATCAGGGTCAGCGAGGATGTGAGACAAATTAAATGGTACAAGATCAACCGGGTGACCAGCCTTATTCCTTTCAGTTGTCCAGCTTCCCAGGCTCACACTCGTCTCACTGAGATCCGCGAGATTGTGCGACATTACGTGTGCAACTTGTACGTCCTCGATTTTTGTGATCCCACACTCCTCTCAAATTGGCAAGAAGACGATTTCGCCTCCTTGCAAGACGTTCTCCAAACCCTATCGCCAAGGCACTGGGCACTTGTCGTCTTCTTCCCCTTTCGTTGGGAGCTCAGTTTCTTGAAAGGCATGGCCAAGCTTAGCGTTCATAACGTCAGGACAGGGAAGTGGGTGCGCCATGCACAAAGGAAGGCCACTGTTTGGGAAGGCGATATGCTGGTCGAGGAGTATGATCGTCTGTACGTGGTTTTCAATGACGAGAACCTGGCAGACAACACGGTCGCAGTCTTCCCGGCCAGCAGTCCATCGAAGCCTCCTCGTGCTAATGCTCCAAGTCCGGCGAAACCCGCGGTGGCGGCCCGCTCGAAAGTTGCCTGTTCATCCGACCCGTCAGGACATGGTCTGTTTCGACGTGGCAGACGAGGACAAGTTCCCTCGTAGCCAGCAGGAGGACGGCTGCGTGACAAGTGTTCGAGGAGCTACTTACGGGGACAGGGAGCGCAACCTGGCTCATCTAATTGGTCTGCTCGATAACTTTTGCAGAGTTGGGCAAACTGTCTTTTTCTTCGGGAAGGCGCACGCATCTGGCGTGTGGGAGCTCCTGTGCAGCGGTCGGAATGTCGTTGCGTTAGAGGACGAGGCGAAGATGATCGATTACCTTTGCGAGTTCGTTAAGAAACGTGTGGGGGACTCTCGCCACCATTGCTCTTTTGTCCAGACCACCGGCGAACGGAACTGGGATCCCAAACGTGATATGTATTGGACATTGCCGGAGAAGAAAAGGATGGAGGTTTGGGAGTTCCTTTTCTAGCCAGGACCGCCTGCTCAGACCGACCTGGAATACAACCGACGGAGGAACCTGATGTTCGGTGTGCTGAATGGTTACCACGATGCACCCAGGGAGTCTGTCTCAAATTTCCTGAAAAGGTTGGAGCAAGTTTTCTTCTTGATGGCCGAACTGTTGACTCTCGAAAACTACAAGGCGCAGTTCGATGAGGAGGACCCTTTCGACGCATAAGACATGGAGGAGATGAGCGACTCCGAAACCTTCGATTTTGAGTCCATGCCACTTCCTCGGGTGGTTGCATAGGTTGATGATGAAGGGGAAGGTGTTCCTCGAAGATATAGCACGTCCCCTGCCGGTTTGAAGCATGTGTTTGAGCGCGAAACAGTCGAAGGACCAATCGTCTGATGACGGGGAAGAATATAGAGACTATGAGTACAAACCTGGCGACAAGCTCCCTAAGGACCATGAAACCTGGGAGAATAACAGGCTCTTCTTCTACGGGAAGTACCACCGGTTCACGCCGGAGGATGTCTGGGGCCACAACGTCGTCTGGCACCCCAGGAAATTCCAACCTGCTGTAAAGACTGGAAAGTGGGTCATGGCAATGAAGGAAGCCGACGGCAAGTGGAGTGGCCTGAACAGACTGGGAGCGGGTCCATTTAAGAAAAAGGCGAGAAAAGCTCTGGTGGAGCATTTGAGTGTTATGAACCCCGACAGGAGCGTGCCGGACGTCAATGTGTATGCAGGCCAAAAGCTCGATGCGTTGTACGACAACAAAATGTTTGAGTTTCGAGCGCCTTTCTACACACTCGAAACGACACCGTCTCGTGGCATTGACTGACGCATGCCGCAACCTCCGTCGGGTGGTCAGCATCCGGGAGGCGGTGGGCGAGGTGATGGAGGAGACGGCGCAGGACCCGGTGGAGGAGGTGACGGAGGAGACGACATAGGATCTGGTGGTGACAGCAAAGGGGAAGGGGCCAGGCGAAACAGGGTCCAACGAAAACGGTCCGGCGAAAAAGGGTCCGACGAAAAGGGGTCGGCGGAACCAAAGGGCTCCAACGGAAAACGGTCCGGCGAAAAAGGGTCCGACGAAAAGGGGTCGGCGGAAAGGGGTCGGCGGAAGGGGTCGGGCGGAAAGGGGCTGGGCGGAAAGGGGCAGGGCGGAAAGCGTAGAGCATTCAGGAGTCACGAGTCTAACAGAACTGAAAGCCGCTGCGAAGGGAGTCGAGATTCGGACATGCGAGACGAGGCAGCCCTGAGGTCTTATCAAGTGCGAGTACATTCGCACTTGTCTGCAAGGACTTTGTTTCACGACACCGGCGAGCGCAAAGTGCTAGAGGGGCCCGCTGCAGGAGTGTTGGAGACCGGGTGTAGCGAGTATGAACGTTATGCTTCAGAGGAGCTGTCACAGGACGCGCATGCTGTGCACCGGGAAGAGGAGACTCAACACTGGCCGCCTACAGACTGCTGGATGGTATCGACGAGGGAGTGTTGGAGACCGGGGCTAGCGAGCATCTACGTCATCCTTCGGAGGGTGCGTCCGTCGACTTAGAGAGCAAGAGTACACCATCTCACAGGAAGCGCATGCTGTGCAGCGGGAAGAGGATACTCAACATTCGCCGCCTCACAAAATGCGGAAGGGGCTTGATGCAGAAGTGTTTGAGACTGGTGCTAGCGAGCATTAGTGTCATGCTTCGGAGGGCACGTCCGTCGATGTTGAGAGCAAGAGTGCAGCAGCTTTGGGGGAAGAGGACCTTTCACAAGAAGCGCATGCTGTGCAGCGGGATGTCGGGTCAGGCGGAGGTGAAAGCCACTGCGAAGGGAGTCGAGATTCCAACACGCGCGACGAGGCCGCCCTGGGGTCTTATCAAGTGCGAGTAGATTCGCACTTGTCTGCGAGGACTTTGTTTCATGACGTTGAGGACAGTCCTCGTTGCAGTACGCAGCACGAGTGTCCTGTTCAGGACGACACCTTGCTCCTGCACCTCTTGGAAGAGGGTGAACGTCTACAGCGCGCGGCGACATCTGTTCAGGGGCCCTCTGTAGGAGTGTTGGAGACGGGCTAGCGAGTGCGAAGGTCATGCTTTGGAGGAAACGCATGCTGTGCAGCGGGATGAAGAGCTTCTCCAAGGCTCGTCGGGAAATGCCATCAACATCGGGAACACCGATTTGGTTTTGCACAGTGGGTCGCCACTTACGGCGCAAGAAGGTGACGTTAAGGGAGGTCAATGAACGTTTGTGGAAGGCAAAGACCGTGGGCGAAAAGGACGTGCATGGACGTTTGGGGAAGCTCGGCTTCGTGGAGATGAGGAGGGCGAAGAAGAACCCGTGGTGGAAACTTGGTTTCACGACGATGAGGAAGGCGAAGAACCCGTGGGGGAAGCCCAACTTTTTGACGGTGAGGTGTCGGCTCGACTTCATGACGATGAGGCAGGCGAAGAAACCGGGGGAAGCTCAGCTTTATGCCGGTGAGGTGTCGGCTCGGCTTCATGCCGGTGAGGTGTCGGCTCGGCTTCATGTCGGTGGGGTGTCGGCTCGGCTTCATGCCGGTGAGGTATCGGCTCGTCAAATGGGTTCGGAACGGACAGATCATGATTCTCCGTCCACCAGCTGTGGTGAAGAGCAAGGTGATCGACCGTCTGCCCTCAGTTCCGGTCGGGAAATGGTGCTTCATGAAGCCACGGAGTTGGTTAGCGACTCGGCTGCCATCAAGCTGGTTAGCGACTCGGCGGTGGTCGAGATGCAGAAGATCGAGTCCTCCTCGGACGTCGGCCCAGTGGCGCGACAGGAGGCCGGTTCCCCTCGAAGGACTCCCGAGCACGGTAAGATTTGTGAACAGTAGCACTCGCGCTCTGTCGATGTTCAGCTCTGTGGTCATCCACATTGAAATGATGGGCTCATGTCGCTATTACAACTTCTTAAACAAAAGCTTGTGGGTTGTTTTCTATGTTCTACAGGTTTGAGGTTGTCAATGTCCCTGCCCATGAAGCCTTCACAAGCCATGCGCAGAAAATCGTTTTCAACTTTTCAGGGAGGTCATTGGCCGTTTTACCGAAGAAGTCCTCGTCAACTTTAGGGTTGTTTAAAAGGGTCCAGATGCCTCGCCTTTCCGGGAGAGCTGTAAGGGTTCTGAAGGCTTGTGGAATAGATCAGGAGGAAGCTTTGCGGAAACATGTGGCTGCGTCAATCGAAAGCGTTATTGCTTTGTCTGATGGGTCTGATGACGACGCCAGACGGGGTACCGTCAAAGACCTGTGTCCTTCGCCAAAGACACATTCAGCAGTCGGGGTTATAAATTTTCTAGAAAAAGGGCACACAGTTCTTGACCAGTTCGCCCCGGTGGTTTTGGCGGCTCCTCACACTTGTTCTTGGGTGTATGTGCAGCTGCGGCAACATCATCTTTTCGCGTGTCGTTGCCTACTGAGGAGCTTAGCGGTGCAGACTTGAGAATGTTGCATGAGGTCTGCGGAGATTTCAGCAACGGCCACGAGGTGGTTTCCTCGATTCGCAAAGGGACCAGTTCTATTCTGTTGAGCAGAAAAAATCTTCAGACTCTTGTCCAGGGGGGGTGGCTTTGCGACGAGGTGGTGGAGTCCTACTTGGCCTTGGTTGGCAATGCTACATTGCCGGGGTGTCCCTCTGTTTATATTTCCAGTTCGTTTTTCTATACGAAGCTCGTCGATGAGGGATGTCGACATGATAGGGTTGCGAGATGGACAAAAGATGTCAACATTTTTGCGTACGATATGCTAATCATTCCTGTTCATAAAAATCGAGTGCACTGGACCCTATTATGCGTTCGCGAAGGAGGGCTGGAGTACTACGACTCCCTCCTACAAGACGATGGCGGTTTTTCTTCCGGTGTGCTTGCGAACTTCACGAAATACCTATGTGACGCAGCAGTTCGTCAATTTTTTCGACACACGAAACTGGATCTGTCGGAGCCCAAGGTGGTTGTTCACACGAGTTTCACCAAATAAGAACACACTAAGAACTCATAATTGAGAATGCTGGTAAAGTCTCATCATCATCATCAACGAAGAACCAAGGTTGATATCCTATCTGGCGCTCGACGCCCATACTACAAATGGCAGATCCTATCTAGCCTAGACTACAACGTCGAAGATGACGTCAACAACTTTCCGGAAGTACGAGCATATAGCGATCAATGTCGCACGCTTCCAACACCAGATATGTCTCTTGCCTCACTCACAACCTCGTTCCCCAACACACAGATGCCACTTGTACCCAAGGACCACGCTCCGCCACACCCAGCTTACAGCAGCGCAGCTCGGCTATGGCTGCCTGCTCCTTCCTGCTCGCCCGTGAGTGAGTGAGCACTGGCTAGCTATTAGCACAACAACGCTTGCGCAGCATGCAGCCAGCACCCGAATGCCCAATCTGGAGGCAGGCCCTTTGCTATATCGAAGTGGCCTGCCTGCGTTCAGTCCCAGGAAGCTTCCGGTAGGCCCCGGAGCATGAGGCCCAGCACGAATGAGAACAGGCATTGGGCCTGAGGTGGTTGCATGCACCCAACTGCCTTTGGCCTGTGTTTGGCCCAGTACCCGTATCCAGCCCAGGGCCTGCTTTCCATACATTCACACAGGCGGCCCAGGGCCTGGGTTCTCTCAACCAACTGGCGCTACGCAACTGCCTGAATTTCCTTAGTTGCGCGGTGGCCAAAATAGGGCCCTGAGGGCCTCGTCGAGCCTGCCTTCATTTAGGGCGCCCGACTTGCTCCAAAATGGGGCCGAATGGGGCTCATAGAGGCAGTGGCCTCGCACATCTCTCTGTTGAGGCTGTACTATAGGTAGGACAGATTCACAATTTTGTTTGGCTGAGGGCTAACCGAGGGACCTACCTGTGAGGGAAATTCGTGAGGGACATATCTGCAAATCCGGGAAAATACAGGCTCGGTACTAACAGGACTCCCTACAGCTACCCTAACTGCGAATAGCAGGCCCGGGCTACCCCTAGGACAGACAGGCCCCAAGGGCCTATTCTGATAGACGGTCCTATAGCCTATAGCCGGGTCAGGTAGAGGCCGAGAGGCCGAAACAGATACGGTACCGGTCGGTCAGTCAGTCCGGTCTAGGTCGAGTCTAGGCTAGTGGTAGTCTATAGATAGATTAGGCACACCGGTTTAGGGCTTTTGGCAGTCGGTACCGAGTACATCGCTGCTGTGCTACGCGTGAACCGGAAGTGGTGACGGCTCAACGTGGAAGGAGACAGGCATAGCCAGACTTTCGGAGCGCCGACCATAGCTGGGCCCTGCGCTATACTCTGCCAGCACGCAGGGGCTGACAGAGGTCTGGGTTATCGAGGTCTGCTGGAGGCGAGAGAGATTGGTGCCCTGCTGGACCCTCCTCCGGAG